CTGTCGTATCGCGTCATACCTTGTTGGTATGGTGTTGGGCTACTTTTTTCATCACACAAAGGACTACAGGCTTCCCACAAAGGTGATGCAGTCATTATGGTATAATTGTTCTCCTTTTTAGCAGACGCTGAAAGAAGAAATAATATACTTTTTTATTGAGTGTCAGAAAACCAAAACCGACGTAATCACAAAAAGGCGGCAAATTAGCGAGAAGTCGGAGTGTACAGCTGACCCAATGCAAGACGCTCATGACGCACTATGTAAAAGAACAAGAAGTACGTTGCCTTAAGCGCAGAAAAACGCCAGTGATCAAGTTAAGCAAAGCCAAGCATTATTTAATTTTTCGTGGCTTTCTATGTTGATATTTTCGTTAGGGGATGAACGAAGCTGCCTTGGTTAAGGACCAACACTTATCGACATTCTAATCCTAGAAGTATGCAGGAAGTTTGTCATTATGGACTTAGTTTCATGGCCAAAGCCTACCACGAGTTGTCACTCGTTCTTCACTGATTCTCGCCAATTTTTGTTATCGACTTTTGTTTAGTCACGAGATCAATATTTTTGCGTCGAAATTCAGTTGTACACTGTGGGTATTCATGAATCCTTGTAATGATGACTGTTTTTTTTTCCCTATCAAGGTCAAAAAATACGTGTTTAATGTGACTGGCTGGTGTCTGGCTATCGTTCTCGCTGTGTCCTCTTTATATGGCAAGTACAAGACTGTAAGAGAGCACAATCCTCACCCTTTCTCTCCCACCCAAGAAATCGCATACGGGATCTTAAAACGTTTTGCATGGAGCCTGGCTATAGCCTGGGTGATTTTCGCATGTCAAAGTGGGCTCGGAGGTAAGTTAACAAGTTAACGTTTTAAGTCAGACACACGCACATGGCTATAGATAATGACTGTAATACCTTTTCTTGATTTTCTTTTTTTTAACTCTGAAGGTTTGGTGAACAGGATTTTGTCCGCTCGCTTCTGGATTCCCTTGAGTCGTTTAACTTACTGTGCCTATCTTGTTCACATAATCGTTATTCTGAATCTGTACGCGCGATTTGAGTCTGTTTGGTTCTACTCCGATGCTTATATGGTGAGTAGCATTCTTCCAAATTTTCTCCTACATTTCATCCTAATAGAAAATCTTCCACAGCAATAATTCATTCAGTGTTGTGATGGCTTTGCTTAGTGTTCTATCATCGAAACGTTAGCCTCCATTTGCTCGGATATTTGTCCGCGGGCATTATTTGTTCCGAGAAGCGAACAGTTTTCCGACAACGAAGCTCGAGGAAAGCTGCGAGTTTATTTCGTTGGATGTTTACTTTTCAGTGTTTTCTGATACGACTTTATGAACCAGCGAAAGTGTCCTTTCTTTTGTACCAACAGTAAAATACTCTCTCGAAGACTTTTATCGTATTGAACGTTAAGTTAAGACATTGGGGAATGTCGCTTGAGTAATATCATCGGATATCCCCTTGTTTCAGCTGGGGTATATTCGGTTTTGTGACGCGTTTAGACCAATCGTGTGGGAGCAGTACTATTTGATGGATTATAAAATGCATTAACTCGATCGTTAATCTGAAATGAACACGACTGAACATTATTTCCTATCCTTTATGACTTTAATTCCTGCGGAAACCAGATCCAATTTGTATCATGTATGTTGAAGAAAAAAAAACTATGTTCTATAGATACTACGAGCGCCCTGATTTGTGAAAAACCCGTCGTTTATTGCCCAGTAAACCCATGCATTTAGTTTGTAAATCACTCGTTTCCGGTCCGTGATTTACAAACCTTTCTCGTGTTCTCCCAACATCCCGCGGGTGTTATTAGACTGGTAACACCGATAGAAAGTGTGGTCCATAGTTATAGCTCAGTCTAATAGCAAATAAGATTTGGGAAAATGACACCAATGTGAATTGAATCTTATTCGGCTCTTTTATCCGAAACCAGCCTTAAGGTGATTTCTTGTTTCCATAATTGTATTTTCGCAGGCCTTTCGCTACGTTGGCATCGTTGGCATCTCATACGGAGTAGCCTTCATCGTGTCTGTTTGCGTGGAATTTCCCACGATGCAACTGGAGAAACTTATATTTAGGAGTAAAAGTTAAAAATTCACGCCATGTTAGTGTTCAACAATGTGTACTCGTTACTTACCAGTGACTTCATTGATGATGCTACAAGCTGACCTCTCTATAAGGATGATACTGCTCTGTTTGCATATTTCGTAGGACTGGCTCAGACGAGAAATTGATAAATACCCGATAAAAAAAATTGATATTTGGGTCCTTAAGCAGATAGGATGGCAACGCCAAGGACGATGTCCATTAAGAAATGAATTTATATTTTTAATTATAATTTTTGAAAATGGCTGCATGGGTTTACCGTCTTTCACGGCGCCACACCTCAACCTCAGCAAAACGTATGTAGACAACGTTGAGATCCAAATGGAAAATAAATATTGTCCGCGGTTTCCGTTCGCAGACGGCGCAAATTTCGGTGATTTCACGTTGTTGTTTTGCAGAGGACGGCTAAGAAATATATGTATTTTAAGACGCACATGCTGAGCTGTTTTTCTGTCCATTATATCTTTTGTTTTGTCATGTTCTCGTTGCCGTCGCCGTCTAGGTTTGCTTAAGGTCCCTGGTGTGTATATCTACAGAACGCGTTACAATTTTTGCGATATTTTCCCACCCTACACTTGACGGGGGCTGTCTGCAGGGTGAAAAGGTCTTACTTTCAGCTGCAAAAACGTCAAGTTAGGTAATTTTTTCAATAAAATAAGGCTCAGAAAATTTCTTTTCGAGGTAGAATTTTTAGGCGTATGACATGGCTTTCCTGGGGAACATCGTATGACATAATGTCTGTCAAAGGCCATGAAATGATGAAATCTCGATGACACTTGAAGGATCAACAAACATGTCACGTCATTATGAACTTACAGGCAAGACAAACGACCTAAAGCACTATTCATATTGTATTTCAACGACCCGTGCCTCATAGATACCAGTAAGGCGCTTCACTTTTAAAATAGCCGTATTTTGAGCATTTTCGCTTGAAAAGAATATCCTTCTTTCCACTTCTAATGTCTCCTTCAATGTATGTGCACATTGAAGATACATATGTATAATCTTAGCGTTTCTGAAACTTAGAAAAGTTAGTTTTACGAAGCCTGGTAGACCAATTTTGGCCCATTTGGAAGAGTTTGTTGGGAATCATTCTACCAGATGTGATGTTGGTAACGCATTTATGCTTTGATGAAAATGGAAAGAAATACAGTAGTTTTCCTCTTTTCTTCGAGCTCCTAGTTACTCAAATTCCCGTTTAGCCGATCTCGGTTTCTAGATTTCCCTTGAGGGCACGTGTTTTCAGGAGTGTGGACTGGGGTAATAACTTGATTAGTTGTGTTGTTAATATCGGAAATCCACTGTTAAGATGAGGCAGACAGATATAAATATCGCATGATCTGTTGTCAGCGATTGTTTGTCATGTAATTAAAAGGATAAGCTGAAAAATGATTGAGTATCTTTGATCAAATTTCAGAAACAAAGCAAAAAGCCGTGTGAGGATATTTCAATTTTCAAATGGTTGCTTTGCAATTCTTCTGTCAAATTCATCTATTTCAAAAGATTATTTTTTATTGACGCCAGATAAATAATTTATCAATTGGCTAAGTTTTACGCTTTTTTTTTATAATTCTTGTTGGCAGATTCAGTGCCCTAATAGTATTTTTAACATCTTGAGTCGTGCCATGCTGATTAGGTTTTGGGTCCACGACGGAACAAATTGATAAACCCACGATCACATCTATCGTTATAACATTTTGGCTCTAAAATGGCTGACACGTTTAAAGCCTCTGCACTTTTCTTGTTTTTCACCCTTTAAACGTCCTGTGTTTCGGCTTTAAATCTCTCTGCCATTACGGCCAGTTAGCTTAACCCTTTAACTCCTATGAGTGACCAAGATAGAATTTCTCCTCGCGATATCAACGCAATATCAACCAGATAAGTGATGAGAATAAAGAAAAATATAAATTTGGGGATAATTAGTTGATCCAGTATGAAATTCTCTGAACTAACATTATAAAAATTGTATGGTTGACAGTAAGGAGAATTAGAAATTTGATCTGGGAGTTAAAGGGTTCACCACTTAACCTTCCACTATCACGTCCAAATATCTCTTTGGCGAACGCCCAAGTCTCTAAGGAATGTTGGAACGCCGTGAATAAGCAGCTAGACGCCCTTACAATTGCTCCTTGTGAGTACTGGAGTATACAATAGTATATTCAACTTGTGTTATCATGTAACGTGGAAATTCTCTGACAGTCTATATTTGGATACTGATACTGATATTAAATTTCGCAAATTCTGGTCATATCCCGGTCTCGCCTTCCTTTTTCATCCCACATCTCGCCTTTAACATATCTCGTATTCCACATCCCGCCACGATTTGAAGCCTCATCCCGCATCCTACCAGACTTATGTTGGACTCTCCCTTGTACATAGAACGAGATAATAGGGGTCTTCAAATCTAGCGATCTCCTCTATCTTTTTCCTCGATCCGTCGAGCCAACGTTTTTCAGATAAAATCTGGACCCACGATTCGTTAAACGGTGCTTTCCTTGGTTAAAAATTTCGCACCCGTGAGTGTATATGCGTTTTATTTTTCTGCTGATTTTGCGAAAATATAAAAACATGTCTTACATGCTGCACGTGATCTAAACAAGATACTAGCATGATTCAGGTTAACCTCGCTCGTATTCGCATCTGATATATTCCTTACAATGGAGGCCTCTAAATGCACACGTACAATTATTGAAATATTGTTACTGGACAGTCGCAAGGGAGCTTGGAATCTATTTTTTAAGGTAGATCTTGCGATTGGTCGTGTCAGTTGCAGCTTCCCGAAAGACAAATTCATTCCTCTGAAAAAAAAAGACTGAGAAAACTCCCTCTTAGGAAGATTGAGTACAACTGAAGCACTTATAAACATTCTTCATGTTTATTATTCAATTAAAGAACTACATGAGCAAAGCACAAGTTAACAATCACAAATATTACCAATACTACAAAATAACCCAGCCACAGAGTACCACGCTGCAGCCATCATTCGTTTTAAAATATTGTATCGATCTACACTAAATACAATATACATTACAAACTTACTCGTATTCTAATGAGTTTTTTTTTTGTACAAAGCATCTACTGTGCTGTCATGAAATTAAACACAATTTTAGAAGTGACATACGAAATGCCGTAGTAACAACTACATGAATACTATATATAAAACATTGCAATTTTAAAGAGCGGCATGAGGAACACATTCATCAAACTCGTCTCGTGCAAAATACACTTGAATAAAGACTATTCATGCAAGGAAGCGTATACCTTCAGCTAGTCGGTCGTCAGTCTGAACAGTATGCGTTTTTAAAGTTTAACTTTCATTTCGTGTCATATTTTGTAGACATCGTTTTGTTCAAACTGTAGCATTTTAAGATGTTCTGAATTAATGGCGGATAAACAACGCCTAGTTTCCATGCTTATCTTTATTCGGTTTGGGAAAGAACAGTATCGCCTGTTTCATGAGTTTCGTACACTTTAAGCTAAAAACAGCAACTAAGACTTCGAAAATTAAAATAAATATGCCGAATGCAGTTGAAAAAGCTTCAATACACAATATTCATAAAATTCAAGTCCTTGAATCAGTTAAAACGAACAAAGGCAAACGCTATAAAGTTTAATGTCACGGGTTTTGTCTACTGTAATTATGTAAAACAGCCAATTTTCAGGACTGTTATGACGCAACAAAAACCACGGACGCCGTGAATAATTTAAAAGGAAATAATGCTCTGGAAAAAGTCGCTAACCGTGAACATGACCTGAAATTGATCGCCTTACAATGGAACATGCTGTTAGAAACATGCTATATTCTCGGAGGTAAGTATAGTCTCTGTAGCTCAGCGTAAATAGGTGTTCACTTCAAACTATGTTTTTCTTGTGCCAAACGAGCAGACAAATCGAGTCGCCATCTTTAGATCAAATAAAATTAAATAACTTTAGATGACATATTCCTCGTACTCAATGAGTAAGTGGAAAAAAAAGCATCCCCGCGTTCGTATCTAATGGTACTACAAAAACCTTGCAAAAAAAGGAGAAAATTCAAACATTTCTACTCCATATAAAGTCTTTAGGGGCAACAGTCTTACACCCACAAGTCTTCGTTCTTTCCACCCCCACCCCCACCCCCACTACCATTCAACTTCAAAGTCCTGTCACTGGAGTTTTCATTCTCGTCTCTGACTGAATTAGAGGCCGACGGTCTTGGTGAACTCGACATAACCTCCATGGGGAGATCATCCCTTGAACGACTTCCCCGGGAATAGTTGTCATCAGATGTATAAGGAGGTGGGATGTTATTCAAGCTCTCCCCCCAACTGCGTTGCCTATCTGATTCTGAGGAGATGTCTGTCACTCCAGAAGGCTCACCATCCCACTGATCTCTCGCTCGGCGACTGCCGTTTCGCCACTGATCGTCGTCGCTTTCCATTCGGCGAATGTTCGGATCCCTTCGGCTACGTTCGTCGGGCGTTCGTGGCAAGGAGGTGGCTTCGAAATCCATCGGGGCACGAGCGAGTTCCGCATCGTACTGCCAGCCTTCATTCTTCATTTGTTGTTGTAATTGACTATGGCTCCAAAGGTTGGCTAATACCTATAACAAAACAGACGTTACTAAAAGTATTCAGATTGGTCGTACTGTATTCTAACACATTCGGCGCGTTTTTGATAAAGGGACAATCAGCATCACCAAATCAAATCAAACTGTCAATTAAATGATCATGCAGAAAAGAAGCAAGGTCTTTAGTAAATTCAAACTGCTCTAGAGTGTTAAGAACAAATATTTGCCGCCGAATCTTGTTGCTCAGTGCCAAAGAGTGCTGCGCGCCACATTTCCATTAGTTTCATGGGTAAATGAAAAAAAAAACAGTGCAATCTGAAAAACTGATTCCATATTAAACCCGGTAGATAAGTAGCCTTGGTAAAAAACAAAAACAAAGTAAAATTACATCCTTCTTTCGATCTGGAAGAATGAGACAAACCGAGGAACACAAACTGACTTCCCCAAAACATTGGGTTTCTCATAGCGACAAGTAACTCTTGGCTTGTCCCTCAAATATGGAAAAAATAAAAAAATGGACACACACACACACACACACACACACAAAATGAAGCTAACAAAAATTTTCATGAACTTAATCATGTCTGTACCTGATTGGCTATTTTTATGACACGGGGTGAGTATACCCTGTTCTGATCTGTTGCTATCCTTACAATCTTTTGAATGCCTTTGGTCTTTCGAAGGTATCTGTAAGGAAAGAACACAACACCAAAAAATCATACAAAGACGTGAAACACTACTTGTCAACATTCTTTACAAAGAAATTTACTGCAAAATGTGTAAAAACGTTTTCTCACAATCACATAAAAAAAAGTCTTTAAGATACCCAGGGACTGAAACCCAAACTTTGGAAAACAAGGCCAAAATAGACCTCTTTAGCTTGTATGCTTTTTTTACCCGTTTCAGGTCTTAAGGGATTTTCCAGCTTCATGTTTTGTAAATTATTCTTACATATGCTCGTGAATAAGGCGAAATTTGAAATAAAAAGTTCTCTAGAGTATTATCACATGACCTGACGAACACGAAAAATTGTGTGCACCGCTGATCTTCGTAAAAAAAAAGGTAATAACTCTGAGGACAAAAGGGAAACAGAACCTTCACAATGAACTATAGAGAAACACTGTGGCAAAGAAAATACTACAACAAATAGAGCAGGATACAACGAATTACACTCACTTGGCGTTTTTGTCATTTTTGTTGGTAATCTGATAAATGGCGCACAGAAGAGAGGCCACAGTCGGATCCTGCACGAGTCGTTCTTCTTCCTCCCCTGTGGGGAGCCTGTGGACCAAGTGTAATACGGCTTTCTCGCCTGAAATGAATAAATAGGTAAATAATGACAACGTCGTCTGAAATTGTCTCCAGAAAGTTACCGCTATTTGGTCCATCTTATTTGATAGTGGTACAACTCCTTTAGACGAACAAATGCATGATTGAAACGGTGAACCAGGCCTTTCGAGAAACGGGCCAAGGCATAATGGTGCATAAGAAACAGTACATACTAAGACGAATCAAAGAAGAGTCTTACCAACAATTTTCTTGTTTTCCGAGTCAACGCACATGTTCCGAAGGGCAATGGCTGCTGCGCGGATTGTTGGATCGTAGTCAATTCTTAAAAGCTCCACAAGCTGTTGGATTGCTTGTGCTCGTCTTGTATCCCCACGGATTTTGATTGCCCACTGAAGAAAAATTAAAAATTATGCAATCCATGATAAACCTATCATAAGCTTTCAAGACCCTTTTGCTGAAAGCAAAATCCAAAGTAAACCGTTTTGACAACAAACAGATTTGATACACGGAGAACCACGATAAGCGTGCAATGATAGTTCACAACAATACAACCAGGCCATTGTTTGGTTGGAATTCTTTTCGAACGAGCTTGCAAAAGTGTTACACCTGAGCCTTTATCTTTTTTCATTCAGTAGAGATTGAAATTTGAAATTGTGCCATGAATAGTACAATGTCAACACTCGAGAAATCTTCACTACGGTCAGTAAGTGACTCTCTAGTTCCTCCTTATTGCTTCCTCTGTAGACATTTTCCCGTACTTGAGACCGGCCAAGGACCTACCTTCCAAGAACAAGCTGTCAAGTTGTGCAGAGCCCCTGCCGACCCCTCTAAGGTTTCGATGTTTTTTGCCTTCCGTAGCAGCACGTAATATTGTTGGACTGTTTCCGGCTGCCAAATCAGTTCAACCCCTTGCGGTGGACCCCTCGGTCGATCCATGGGTCTCTTGTCATTGGGCACTTTTTTCTTCTTTCTTCCACCGCACCCGGCGAAGCAACCCTGGCTTTGTTGTTCTTTGACGGCAGCAGGGTCCACGTCAACGTCAGCGTCGTCATAGCGATCCCTGTCGATCTCACTTTCCAGCCGGTAAGACAGGTTTCTTAGTGTGCACACCGAATGCTCAAGGCACTAAAGCAAGAGAGAGGAAAAATTAATTTCTAAGTTAAACCTTCAGAACTACATGGGGAAAGTGTCAAAAATTGCCACGAAGGTGGGACATAGAAAAGTTACAGTCAGGGATTCGAATTCCAGCCAGTTTGCATTTAACGGTTGAAAAGCTTAATGGGGAGATGAAGTACATATCTAGTTTGTCAAAGCACTTGCTGTAACCTCTACGTTGATTAAAACTTAGAACGGCTGTAGATTAAAAATTAGCGGCAAGTAAACCACTAACAACAACGAAAATGTGACGAGCTGTCTCTTCAATTTGGTGGTGAACTCAAACTCCATATTTTTTATTGAAATGCCTCAAAATTTGCAATCTTCCCCTGATGTCGTTTCTATATCTTTGAGTAATACTGTACTATCATATTTAGCAAATCATAAAGTATTTTAAAATCGAATAAATCGTTAATTTTTACAAAACCGTTAAATCTTTATAAGGATAGGTGTAATTAAAACAAGCGAGATTGTTTTCGAATAAATTCGCGCGGGGAAACGGACAAGACCGAAAAACAAGCATCTTTGGCATTTCTGCTCTGTTACAGGCCAATGGTTGTCTTCGCCAAATGGTTCCTGAGGAACATGCCACACAGGACAACATGTCTCACTTCTGTTTGTTTCTTTATTTAAACATATTTTCGATAATAGTAGACCAACGATGGTTGATCAATACCTTACCTTATTATCATACTGTTCACTCTTGACACCAACTCTAACAATCCAGACTAGACAGTCGATCAAGTCTTTCTCGTCCCTCAGTTCTTGCCGGGCCCTGGTGCCGGCCGACGACAGATTACGCACGAGTCTTGTGGCATGAACGAGAACCGCTGGCCAAGGTTCAGCCCTTACTGGCGGCTGCCCACGTGCTGCCACAGCCGTCCACTCAGAGTAAGTTATAATGATAAGAATAACGATAATATGCAGGCAAACCAAGAGGATTCTGAGACGAAGCGACTGGGAAAGACAAGGAAGCAATATTTTTATTAAGGTAACTACAGTACCACCCAGATAAAATCTGCTGAGGAATTTCAAAATGGTTCTGTTTTAGATTTAGGCGAGTGTGAGTTAGCTAACGTGAAATAACTGAGAATGTCATAAAATGGAAATAATTTCAAGTTGTGTAAAGTAATAGACACATGTTGCGCCAAAATGCCTCACCTCAACCGACGATAAGTTGCATAGAACTCCTAAAATTGCCTCTCTGTACTACATGAGCAAAACACAAAAGAAAAAGGTTAAAATGACGTCTGCAAAAAGAGAATCAAACGCATCATAGCTGGCCTACCTACCTCTGTCTTTTCCGTTTCCTGCAGGATTTCTATAAGAGCTTCAATTCCACCACAGTCAGCTATGGCCAACTGTTGAAATAAAAAAATATATATGTTGAAAAATAAAATGAGAAGGACTGAAGCGAAAGTTTTGTGATCACTCATCATGAAGGCACTACATTAACAGCAATTTCGTTATTTAGTAAAGATGACCATTTTCACCGAGAAAAAAACCACATTGGACCGTATATTAGATAAATTAGTAGAACGTTTCCTTAGCGTGCTCAGTTGAAAATGTTACCCATTTCGGTTCCATTACTTTAATTTCATGGTGTTTAATGCATGTTTAGCTTCCTATTGCACTTAAATCCAAACACTGCGGGGAAAGAAAGTGACAGTTTCATTCTGCATAATCAGTGACTGAAATGACTGAAATGGTGTCAACGACGTTGACAATTTTATAGCAAATGAGTCACGTTTTGCATGAAAAAGATGAAAAAGAGGAAGAAAGTATACTAAAAGTGGACACAGAGAAAAGTTAGAGGTATTCGTACCCTGTTAGCGTCATTTTTCATACTGAATGAGAGGTTCCTCAAAAGACAAACGGCAGCATATCGAACACGCCATTCAGAATGTCTCAGCAACCTGACAATCACTGGAATTCCACCAAGGTCTCTGTTCAAACATAAATTCCAACAAAATGATTAGTGAGTCAGATAGTAACAAAAAAGTTCAACACAACTGAACCAGCCTAGTAGTACAGTCAGACGCCATCCGTTGCGTTAAAACGCATAACTAAGAATTACAATTAGATTGTTAACCCAAGAGCTAAAAGCTGGTGGGCAGTGAGAAATTTATACGAAAGAATTCACCTCAATTTCTTAAGAAATTAATTTGCAAGCCTTCTAAATCTATTGCATCATTTAAGTAGAATAAGAACAAGAGAATAAGAGCGAATCCTTCACCAAGAAAACGATTCCACATTTTTTAGAAAACCTGGTATTTTCAAAACGTGCGTTCGGAACAAGAAGGGTTGGTCTGCTAGAAAGTGGAGGATTCGTTACACCCACAATGATTGTACATAGACACGTTGTATGACAGTTATCAAATTAGTCCCTGAAACTTTTGTGACAAGGTAATGCTTACAAGTCTAATGCATTAAACTGAACACCTGAAGAAAGAATCCCTGCCAAAAACAAATACAAAAAGAGTTCTTTCTTTGACTGGGTTTTGTACATTACACATATTTTCAGTGTAATAACTTACACATGCAGGTGACACACACACCTGTGAAAAGTTGTTTATCTTAATCCGCTTACAATATCGTCAACTCAGTGATACTAAATATGGCAAAAGAATGTGCTATACCTGACTTTATCCTTCACATATTCTTTACTGTAACATAAATGTTGTAAATATCCAGCAGCATTAATGATCTTGACCTCATCTCCGGATTGCATGTAGTCAATCAAATCTGGAATATCTGGCTCTTGACCAACTGAAAAGAAAAAAGTGTGGAAAAGGGATCAGATAATAAATTGAAAAAAAAGAAAAAAGATTTCTCAAAACAAATACTCCATTCAGTGTTGGATCATATTTTTGCGCGATAATTGAACGCTCAGTGAACTTAAGGGTGTTGAGAGAAATGAGAAGAGAGGCCCAAGCAAACAAAACATCAGAAACAAATGTCAGCTGTTTCGTAATTGGAATTTTTAGAGTGCTTAAATTTTGAGTCATGAGGTGATTTATGGAACTACCTTCTTCTTAACTTTGGGAAAATCGAGCGCGAAATGTATTGCTTAATGTACAACGTTCCAAACTAAGCCCTTACTGAACTTCCAACATCACAATGAACGATATCTGTTTGCAATTTTCCTACACTATGGTACTTTTCTGCGATTTACTTTAGCGTATCTCCCCTCTAAAAGAATAATATTCATCTGTTTAAAGGCACTTTATTCGGATGACGGTGTTTCCTCACCTAGTCGGCCGTAATTCCAAGAATCTAAAGAAAGAAAGAAACTAAACATTCAGTTCGGAGTAATATCAGATATTCACTAAAAAACGTATGTACGTTTTAATACTAAGAACAACTAAATGGATTGCCGAAATCGAGATGGCTGTTTCCAAGGATTCGTAGTATAGTCCAAAGAAATAATTTACGCCAGTCAAGCAAGAGTCTTACTTAAGGTATCCACTGTATTCATATTTGGCCATAAGATTTTGCACGCTTTTGTTCAGATTGGTTTTTTCAAACTACATGTAAGGAACCCTCATTAGACCTATTTAGTTTTTCTCTTTATTAAAAAGGTGCATAGGAAAGAAACAACGTTTGGTAAAATTTCTCAAGACAGGCAATAGCTTCGTGACGATTTTATAGCCATTGAAAATACGAATAAAAACAAAATTTGCATTGGTTTTCAGCTCACCAAGTGGAAGATCGATCTCATTGGTTCGTCCACCGATCCAGCGGCCTCCTTTGAACACGTAGCGCTCACCACGGGCCAAAGAAAAAATTACAACTTCATCTAGCAACCAACGAGAATTAGAGCCGGAATTATCATGGCCTACGCGAAGCATCTTGAGCTGTAAGGTGAAAAAAGGATGATATCCATTTAAGACCACGTAGGAACTCACACTGCAAGGCATGATGGTATGGCCCATTTCATCACCAATGGGTTTCCTGTACCTCAGCTGGTCGAGCATTAAATCATCAAAGCGATTGGTCTTAGGTTCGACTTACACTTACATGATGAATGTTTTAAAGCAAGATCAATTCTTTGATCACGGAGTCATACTAATACCAATCTATCGAGCTTTGGCGCAGACGAAGGGAGGGAAAAATTAATTGCTCCGTTTTTATATTCCATTCGCAAAAAAAGACTAGTGTTTACTCTTTCACTTACCCGACCAACATCTCTGGCCCTGATCCTGAATCTATCCAGCTGTCCCCGGTGAAAGTAACCCTTTCCTTTGTTTTTGAGGTCGATTTCTTGAGTCTCGCCGTCCTCGCCGATCATTTGGAAATAAACGTTGGCGTCTGTGCCAGCGTTTTCTTCAGCGGAAGTCTTAAACTCCACGTCATATTCGGCGTCTGGAGATACAGTAAAAGGAAAGCTTAGGAGGTACGTTACACGCGTACGCCAAATTAAATAAGGAAACGGAGTCTTTTTCATTTCTAACTTGCTACGTAGCCCAATCTCTTGCGCGCAATGAAACCCATAGTGGAGTCTTTCGGAAAGCGACCTCTTGGAGGTGCTTATAAAACCCCTCTGTGTCAGGAGAAGGAGAAAAGTTACAACAATAAAACTAGAAGCGAATATCTTCATTCCACATTCTAAAAAAAATAATGGATAGAAGAATGTGAAACGTAATGGAAAGTAAAGGGGGTTATAGGGATCTACGAAACCATACTCTCATCGGAGGGCCGCTCTAAGCAACTCATTATTTATGCTGTGTAACCACTCACTCTAACAGACTGATGGAGGCTAAGCGATTCAGGCGAAATATTTCCTAGAAATACCGATTACGTTCCAGTCACATTCTTCCACAAACAATAAGACTGCCTGGGATGCCCTCCCACTCCCATTCCAGCGACTGAAGCTACTGAAGGTCTCCTCAGCTTCATTGAGCTAAAAAATTGTGACTTTTTCATCTTTCCTTAAATGAACAAAACAACTACAATAGAACCCTTTTCAGCCGAACTAGATAAACTTGTACTTCCAGCGAACTTAAATTCAAAGCCATTTCTCTTGAAGCACGTTTATCAGTCGCTCACTTTCAGCTTAAGCCGGACTTCCTGGTATGTATCTCGACCTGTTTTCGTTTTTCTGAGCCGTTCGAGATAATGGGGTTCTATTGTATCTCCTTGCATAAACAAAGATAGCATTTAATTTTCAGAAATACTTCTTCGATCGGAATAAATGTTTTTATTTCCCGCTTTTGAAACAACACAAGCTAGAGAAGACAGAAAAATCTCTCTTACCACCAAACCCGGAGGCTCCAGTTTCTGAGAGTAAAACGAAAATGCGTCATTAAAAAGCATGAAACAACTCAATTAATTAGTTTCAGAAATGCCTTCACAAAATCAAAGTCATAAGAATATTCCCACTATAAAGATATATATGTTGTTTATACTGATTTGCACTTATGACTCAGATTAGCCTAGAAGATAACCACGCTTCAGTAACACCAACCAACTGAAAAAATAAAGAAAAATTCTATTTTGTCCCTCACAACGGTATCACTACGTGACATACCTTGTAAGTCGTCTACAACGGTGGGTTTAACTTCTCCGTCAATGTCATCCACTGCAGCAAAAAGAACTTGGTCACAAACATTGTTTGAAACTGAAATATGTGGGCATCTACATACAACAAATTTGTCTCCCGATTCTCACTATCTTTTCAAGGAGGTCTTCAATTATGCCTCACTTTCAGTAATGTTTTTGTTGCTTTCTTGTGGCCATCAACATTAGAGGGGGTGAGATACGGGTTATCATACGACAGCCCTTACTCTCCAAGAGCTAGTACTTTAGGATACCAAAATAATAATTGTATGTATTTCCCTTCATATTTACCTGGGTATAAGACTACTTCCTTCCGCTGACCAGGCCGTTCACCACCGAGCCACCCGTCACAGCGGAATTTGTAATGTTCATCTCGTACAGGGATATCGACATCAACTTCCTCCAAGAGCCATCCGGGGTCTTCTCCTCCGTTGTCATGACCGATAACCAGCTTTTCAAGCTGTTCAACGAACGTTTGCCAAAAGTAAACAGAAAAGATCCTCAGCTTGGTGAAGTCACCGTAAAATAGGATGGGGAAGTTTTTCGGCAAAAGGAGATTTTATATAATTTCATAATCGTTCTTTTTTGTTTGTTCGCTCATTCAGCAGTCGTTTTAACCAACAACAGAATGCAATACAAAATATCGGATAGTTGGATGTAGTGGATCAATGGTACAGTAGTGAAAAATGTACCTTAAGGTAAATGGTCCTGAGTTGGTGGTTCGTGTTTGCATGGGTCTATTCAACTTCTTCGATACTACTGCACCTCAGTAATTTATATTTTGAAGTTAATTTAACCAACTCAGTTTCCTACCTTTCCAACATCTGCTGTTTGTACAACAAACTTATCAGCTCGTCCTCGTTCGAAACGTTTGAATGTCTGGCTTTCGTCCTGTAGAGCGATTTTTGGCGTTTCTCCTTTGTCGCCGTGCAGCGCAAAATAGACGTTTGCGTCGGTTCCTGCGTTTTGTACATCTGCGGTTTTTATTGTCATGTGATATGAAATGTCTAAAAAAAAAAAACAAAAACAAGGAAAAACTTACTTCTAAACAAATCTTTGACCACCGAGCTTCCATGAATTTTATTAAATGTTTAAACATCGTGCACTTTACAAAATTGTAAAATCTGACTGGTTGACGGGAGTGCATACATGGTAGCCCACCTAAAAAATCCCGCGTTAACAAGGGTACAGCGAGATTTTATGGCGTCAATCTTCATTTCCTTCTGTTCCGTATTTCACAAATTCATGGCCACAATTTTACCAATGAAAGCAAAGGTCGCTATTTGAACGATATCGCGGTTGCACGAATTAGATCTTCTTTTAATTCTCGAAAACAAGAGCGTCATGGCGGGGTAAGAAATTTGACTTAAAATTACACTTACCTTCCAGTTCTTCTGGTACAGGTTTTCCTGGGACAAGTTCTCGGATTATTTTGGTGTTGGAGTCATCTTTTCCTAGCCAGCAACGACATGGGAACAGTACAGTATCACCGTCCTTGCTGGTAACCGTCACCTCTTCCACAAACATAGTCTTGCCGCGACCGTACCCGTCATCTCCGATGCGAAGCTTTGTTATCTGCAATTAGAAATCGGAGAGCTCTTACAACGTGTAAAAAAAGTTCGATTACAAGAAATTAAACTTCATATCAGATACTTCTACAATGATTAAACACTTATTGAAAAAGGAAATTTCTTTCCATATTTTATCAGTTTTTAAAATTCCTCAAGAAATGAAGAATACATGAATATAAATTTATGACTTAATTAGAGATTTTCCGAGAACTTCAGATTCTCTGTACACATGGTACCGAGCAGAAACACAAAACCAGTATGTAATCATTCTACACAGACTGACAAGCAAGTAGCAACTAAATTATTGCTGACCTTACCTCACCAACATCCGGGCTCTTAACGGACACTTTGTAAGTGTTTCCTTTAGTAAAAACATGAGACCGTGAGTAACCCTCTCGCAGCCTGATCTTGTTAGTTTCACCGTTTCTTCCAACGATTTGATAGAAAGGATTTACATCAGGGTCCAGGACCTCTCCAACTTTGACGCTCACTAAGCCAAGGAAGCAATTTGAATGAGACACAATTAGTTCAAGGATAGCGAAATCTATTCAGATTTAACACGTGACTGACTGTTTTGAATTCACCTTTTGAATTGAATAGCGTGTCAAGGTTAAGAAGAACTACAAAAATAACAAGCTGACTGTTTTGACTATCCTCGCTATACTTGCTACCAATGTGTATGAGACGCTGAAAGGTATGACAAAGGTCAAGTGAAACATAACTTTAAGGGGATCAATGTCAGTATCTAAGCAACTGCACACCTACCCCTCCTGACAACAACATACAACTGATGACAAGTTAGGGTTTATGTAGACTAAGTGAAGGGGTAGGAACGAATTTGTTCAGATGCGACGGACATTGATCATTAAAATCTACTAATGTGCGTCTACGGCTTTCTGGAGACACATACAATTTTGAGAGCATTCGTTTCCCTCAAGGCCAACATCTACTCTGCTACAATTTTGATTATGTGGTGACAGACAAAAAAGGAAATCTAATCTTTACCTGTGTACATTCCTTCCTGTCCTGGTAATGAGCCTTGCTCTAGTTAAGTAGGAGGAAACAACAACAAAATCAAAACCCAACAAAATGTGCCAAGAAATTTGCCAAAAATTCAGATAATACATACACAAATTCACCTTCAAATATATTTTAGCTACATTAAATCACTCGTTTGAACATAACAAATCTCAGGATGGGATAAGTACTGTAACATGAACGTCAAAACTTCTCTCTTTTTCTTTTGTTTTTAACACGAAATACTTCTTCTTTTTCATCGCTTTACTTTGGGAAAACACTAGTTTCTGATCGGTCGAGAAACGTTTTACGCTCTTCGATTACTCGTTAACAAAACTTACAGTATGATGTAATCATTCGCTACCTTAACGCACGCTCAACAGAGCTTACAGCATTACCTGGAGTAAAATCGATCGCAATGTCCGAGCCTCCGAGCCAGCGGTTGCAATAGAACACGTAATGCTCGTCCTTCTCGTCTACGTCAATAGTTATTTTATCCAACAGCCAACCAGGTTTAACGCCTTTATTATCCCGGCTGATACGAACAGAAGTCAGCTGTATGGGATAAAAGACAACGTCTTTAAATCAAACGAGCAATTTGTGGGATCCATATGTTAAGAACGGGAGACTGAACAAAATTAATCCCACTCTGCGAAGGGAGTGAAACCCCGTGTGAACTCGTGAAAACCGGACGGGTATTTCACCCAGAGCTACAAGGAACACGTGACAAACAGCTGCAAAATCATTAACACAATCCGAACAAACAACTTTAAACTTTTTCAAAAGAAATATGTTCCAAAAATAAGGAATTTACTCTCTCGCTCCGTTCAAAGTTGTCCTCGGCAAGTGTTTTTTTTTAAGTTTCAGACAACGGTTGAAACTCTCTTGAGGGGGGGGAAAGAATCAAACGCGCATGTTCAGGACCACTGAGAACATATTAAACCAAGAGGAACTGGTACTGAAGTACGATTACTAAAAGTGACAGGAAATGCAAAATGACAAACGTTAACATGAAATGGAGAAAAGAATTAAATTTGATGGTAAAAGATAAACCTAAATTCAGAGAAGAAACCAAAAACAAACAAACAAACAAAAAAAAACTCTATCAATACCTTTCCGATGTCTCGTGTCCGGATCAAGAACTTGTCCATTCTTCCCTTTTCAAATCTCTTTTTATCTCCTTCTTCTCTGAGAGAAAAGTTCTGTGTCTTTCCTTTTTCTCCAAACATCTGGAAATTCACATTGGCGTCTGTGCCAGCGTCGTTTTCGTCCCCAGTCTTTATCATGATGCGATAATCCACTTCTATAAATAAAGATAAAAATTATAAATCAGTGCATGCACAACAACACCAATAGTTTTAAACAGAGTAAAATGAATTTACTCGTAACACGGTGTTATTTGTTTTTTGTTTAAAACGTGCAGTTTGATATCGTAATCGTTAACATTTCAGAATCTTAATTTCGCTAATGACGTTGAAAAATAAAAGATGAAGTAATTTAGCTACTGATCATCTTATTACCTTGTGACAAATCTTTTGTTTCAGCTGCAAAAAAGATAAGAGAAAAAAATGTCAGGTTTTGCATGTCGTCGCAAAATACATTAAACGGAGTACACCGTTTCACTTGCTTTTCTAGTCGTAATGTACCGATTCCACCTCTTTTCCTCCACTTTTTTTTAAAGTCTTGTTTGTCTTAAACACATATTTCATTTGTGACGCTGACAGACTTACACAAAGAAAATCTCACATGAAATCTCTATTTACTTACCAGGTATCAGGTCAACATTCCGCTGACTTCCCATGAGCCAGCGATGACAAGGGAAGATGTACTGCTCGCCCTTATCCGGGACATCAATAGTCACTTCCTCTAGATACCAGTCCGGATCGCGTCCAGAATTGTCATGATTCACGCGAAGCTTCTCGATCTGAAACACAAAATATTAAAAAAAACCCGTTTTTGAGATCTTGATACTATCCTTGTAAACCTATCATTTACGGCGACTTTACAAGGTCTTCGATGTAACAATAAGAAGAATGGTCACGGTCTTGGAAATAGGTTGCAGACCGCTACCAAAAGCTGAGTAAGGCTTCGTCTCTCCTAAGTTGCCCATGATGGCTGTATTGATACAATAACCACTTCATCTTCTAAAGCTTAAAAAAGGACTTCGTTGATAAACTTCCAGTAGAGGTAAATGGCGGTATAAAGCCGACGTTCTTAGCGACAACCCTCATTCAGAACGAAGGTATACCAAGAAATATTTTCCTTGCCATATCGGAAGGTCGACTTCATAAGGGAACGATTCTTCACGAGGAAAATAAGGAAGGGAAGCTTTCAGTTCTGAACAACCATAAACACACCTTTCCAACATCCCGTGTGTCCACCTTAAATTTATCGCTGTTTCCTCTCTCAAACAGTCGTAGACTCTTGTCTTCGCTAAGTAGAATAGGCTCGGTTTTACCGGTGTCTCCAAACAGTTCAAACTGCACTTTAGCCGATGTGCCAGCATTTGGTCTGTCTCCAGTCTTGAATGTTACTTGATAAGTGGTATCTGAGGAGGCAGAACAAAGGAAGGGATTGTGGGTAAAGAAGGAGGGAATGGAAATTATATGGTTTCTTGGGCATTTATCCCTTACCGCATACGGTGACTTACCAAGAGGCACTTCATTTCCCAGGCCTGGTTCCACGGCTATTTTATCCTCGTCCCCAGTCCAACAGTGACAAGGAAAGACCACTCCATCTCCACGTGACGCAGTCACCACAACCTCTTCGACGTAAAGACCTTTACTGGGGATACCAGTGTGGCCTGCATCTTGGCCAACTTTGACATCCACGATCTAAACAAGGCAGAGCAAGTGAATAGAGAGCAAGAAATTAGAATATACCAGAAGATAGTCAGGCCAGTCCGTTCGTACGCCCTCTCTTGGTCTGTCTATCTACCGAAAAGGTTTGTTAAATATCCGTGCTGTTACGAGTACAGTGTGTCTTATAATTCCAGTTTTCGCTGTGTCAGACTGCTCCTGTCTGCCTGTTCGTCTGCTTCTGCCTCAGCAGTTTTCGTATCAAAGTTTTCTGTGTGTCTCACCGTCTATTGATAGGTCAGTGTGCTGGTTGTGTTCTTGTGTTGATTGGTTGTGTTCGTGTGTTGATTGAAATTTACGATAGTAACATGAACACCTCATTTCACCGTGTTCGTTAAAATAGTGTTGATTGAATGGTTTACGATATGATCCAAACCATGTGATGACCTGCATTTGACCAACAAGTAATCAAGACTTAAAATAGTAAATAGCAAACGCATGACAATATCCCTCGAGCAATTTACGAAAAGATTATTCAAACTCTGAATCTAGAGTCATGAACGGTTTGCAGATGATATGATCCAGTCTAACCATGTGATGACCTGCTGACTATATGCATGTCACGGTTAGCTGCACGTTATTTAATGGAAGTGAAGGCAAGACAGCTCAGTAATGAACAGCTACATAGAAGTTTTAAGTCTCAGCTAAGGTGGATAAACACTCTCAAGTTTCATGCCTTCACTCTGAATCACTTTTCAACTCACAGCGTTTACCTTAATGGTGGTACACTTCGATTAAAAAGGTGGAAAAAAATCTTAAAAGCGCAGGCACAAGACAAATGGAAAATTTCAAAGCCTTTGTCGATAAGTCTCATTTGAATGGTCAAACATTGGGATTCAATCCACAATTGCACCTTCCACTCTACACCTTTCAAAACGACATTTGTATTTCACAAAATACTTTCTTGGGAAATTTAATTACCCTGGGATTTCCAACCCCGAACTCACCCGTCCGATGTCTGCAACTCTTGCCACCACCTTGTAAATGCGGCCTTTCTCGAACTTGTCATTAGGACCATAACCAGGCTTGATTTGAATCTGTCCACTTTCTCCCTTCTCACCAACAAGCTGGATCCACACTGGAGCATAGGGGTCGGCAACTTCGCCCAGCTTAAGATGAACTGCAGAGGGCGCAAATTAGTATGTCTACTAAATAAACCTTCCCATTCCTACTTTATAAGAACCTGATCGAATTCTGATACATAAATTATACCAAAAGTTCACAAGAAAATGATTCTGAAGATGATTTTACGATTTATAAAATTACATTCAAATTTCAGTCAAAGGTAGGCCAAAAAGACGACTGATAGGATAAGTGAGACGGAGATGATTGAAAAGGATAGGACACTGTTTAGATTGGGTAAAACTGTGCACTTAACACAAATTCACGTACACGTCTGTTGCTTAAACATTTGTTAATGTCCATATCTCTTTGCTCCTGGATATAACGAAAGAACAACTTGAGAGAAGTGACCTATTGATAAATCTCACACTGATGGTTTTAGTAATATGTAAAGTCTTTCTTTGTTTCTGGGTTATAATCACTCCATGCGGTATAGCTGAAATAACATTGGCGTATGTTCAGAATCCAGTACCCCTGAAACTTACTGGTATATAGCTCAGTCCTTGTTTTTTCATCGACTGGAAAAAAAAAAGAATGGAGTATTATTAAACAACAATTTCTATAACATTAGAGAGACTACATCATTAACACGCAAAAAAACAATTCATTTATAACAATTCAAAATTAATACAACTTGCAAATTGATGAAATCAGGACACGAATTCAATGGCGTAAACTATAAAGTATAGAACAAATATTCTACATAGTTTTTAAACCGTTCATGATGGACCTAAATGTTCTAAAAATATGCTCTTCATTAAAGTGAGGTCAGAATTGGAATCAACCAGGTGACTGGCATATCCTGACTAAAGAAGCATTTTGAACATACTTGGATCCAAGTTGACTTCCTCTCCTGCAATCCAGTTGTTGTACTCGAACACATAAGTCTCGTCTCGTGATGGGATTTCAATGGAGAGTTTCTTTAGATACCATTCCGGGTTACGGCCAGTGTTGTCGTGGCCAACACGAAGTTTCGTCAGCTGAAATCAAACACGTTATCGTCAGTTGAAAGAGTGCTATCTGTTTTCCTAACGCGCTGAGAAAGAGAAACTATTCAAAGGCAACTGAAAAAAAAAAACCTGTCGTTTATTCCCTGGGATTATAAATTACACCTTTCTGACAGTAGCACGTGAGCATACAGGAGATATACATTGTTCCCACCTCGGTGGATCACGTGACACGAATCAGAGCAGTCATTTTACACGAGTCTGATTAAACAAAGTTCATATTACCAACTCTGCGTCTGTCTAAGGTTTTCGCTGCCTTTTACACTGACAGCCAGTTATACTTCTGATCGCTATTTATTCTAAATATATATCATACACAATACTAACGTTTTCGTCTTGTTTTTCGATTCTTCTACTTAACCACAAGTAGAGGATTGACTTATATTTTCCTTGAATTCAGATCACGAAGATAAATGCAAACTCGTCCCAGTATCAGTTGGATTCCAATTACATATCTCTCCTTCCATTGTGGGTGGAGTCCTAGACTATTCTTTGGTAAAGTTGTCACACAGTTTGCCCGTATGTGGGAGTTTCATTCACTAGAAAAAAAGTAAAACACACACACGCACAACCGCCATACCCAGAGCTCGACCTTGGATTGTTTAACAACCAATCCAGTCTATTCACCTTTCCCACATCAGCAGTTTCCACAGCAAACTTGTCAATTCTTCCGCGTTTAAACTTTGGCGCCTCCTTTTTGTCTTCACTTCGAAACTCAATCTTTTCTGTCTGTCCTTTTTCTCCAAACAGCTTTACATAAACAGTAGCATCCGTGCCAGCGAAGGGAACGTCCTCTGTCTCGAACGTCATGTTGTACAGAGTACCTGACGGAGATAGTGCCAGAAGTTATTATTATCTTCACCGCAGTGGGTGCTTGACAACGCGGTGGTGACATTAAGTGTTGGTTACACAACGCCTTCGTAATAACCCTAAATAAAGGTCTCCCGATCACTGATGCTAAGTCAGGGCCACACAAAATTAAATAAAAAATCATCCTTGAGTTCTAAAGCTCTTTTGTCGGGGCCAAAAATGAAAATACCAGAAGAACAGCGAAAGACAACTTAGAATGAACGGAACTGGAATTTGTCTCCGTGGATCTGATAACAGAAATAACAGTGTAACAATCACTTCTGTGATTGTCAGCAGTGGTGGCTGACAAAATCACTTCTGTTAATTTGTTTGCTGTCTTTAAAAATACAGTGAAATTCATATCTTTACTTACTGTCTAGCTGCGGATGAATTGTCTCCCCTGGAGTCAAGACTCTGGCTGTTTTGCCGTCTCCTTCATCTTCAGCGAGCCAACAGCGGCAAGGAAAGATCACAGGATCCTCACCAGTGGATTGAACTTCGATTTCCTCAACGTAAATTCCCCGTCCACTTCCATGGGCATCACTACCAAGAAACACTTTGTTGATCTAAAAATGTAAGCAGTAATTTATTTTAAATGAAATCGAATTGAATTGATAAGGTCCTAAGATTGTGTATGGCATTGAACTGAGTGCAAAAGGTGCAAGAGTCAAACTGTAGAGAATTAACAATACGCCCTGTTACATTAAAAAAGTTTCTGCAAAAGAAAAACTTTAGAGGATTTTGCCAGAGTTCTGAAAATGAAAAAAAAAAAAAAAAAAAAACAAAAAAAAAAGAAACAAAAAGAAAAAAACCATGATACCTTTCCAATGTCCTTGATATTCACTGATACTCTGTACTGCTTTCCAGCCTCAAATCTTGTCCCATCAGAAGGTGTGAGGTATATCTTGCCTGACTCGCCTCTATCTCCGTACAGGATCATATACAGCTTAGCCCAAGGGTCTCGCACTTCTCCCAGACGGAACAGAACTACAAAACAAGAGACAAAAAGTTTACTTGAGAGCCAAACTCTATAAACACAATCCTGCAGAAGTTGCCTTCTTTACTTTCGCTCTAAGATCTGACTAAACGTGAATCCATGCAATTCAGTTGACCTGAAGAGTACACTCTAAAACCTGACCCATTTCCATAACCACTCCTACAGTACCTCAAACTCGATCATCGATTCTCGAAAACTTCAAGGATCGAGGCTCGTATTGACAAATTCCTTGTTGTTGGCAGGTGTTCACGTTCAAGTCTTATAGGCGCATCTTCCCTGACGCTTTTAACCGATGCCATCGCTTTTTCCGCACTTTCCGCCCGGTACAACATTTCCCGCGCCTTCCACAGGTAAAATCTCTTCCAGGCTCTATTTCCCACGGCGTACATATTTTCCTGCGCTTACTCAATTTAAACTTACTGTCGTATGTGGGTTGCATAGTTTCTCCAGGTTTCAGAACTCGAACAGCCAATCCGTCTCCCTCGTCTTCTGCCAACCAACAGCGGCTCGGGAAAATGACAGGTTCCTCGTTTGGCGCTGCGACTTCGACTTCCTCCACGAAAACACCATGGCCCGGTCCACGACTTTCATTTCCAAGACTGATTTTCTCGATCTAAAAACACAAAAAAGTTTTGTAACTTCACTTCACACACTCCAGATAACTTTGTATTCACCAGTACTAGTTAAGTCATAAGGAAAATGAGAAGACAGATTCCTGATAAAGTTGACGAAGGGCAATGCCCAAATTCAAGGATTAAGTCTATTTTCCTATTGCAAACATCAAACTTTTCGTGGGATTTTACCCATGGGATGAAAAAATATGAAGCACAATCACAGCTGAATCATACTAATTGCAAAATCTAACCACGCAATATACGCATAAAATCATATCATGCAACATGCAATAACCACACCTTTTGCCTTGCTACTTAAGGTTAACAAACAAGTTTGGCAACTAACCGGTCCGATATCTCTAATATTTGCAGACACAGTGTACAGCCTTCCTGGTTCCAACTTTTTGCCGTCAGATGGTGCTAAGTAAATTTTTCCAGAATCGCCTTTTTTTCCATGAAGAATCATGTACAACTTAGCTCGAGGATCCATCACCTCCCCAAGACGGAAGGCAACTGTTGAAAAATCAAAACAGGCATGCAGTAAGAATTAGACCATTTTCAGTCGTGTCGAGAGTAATCCGCGACCGCATAGGTTTCCTTCAACACTCTGTTATATGTTTTAAAAATTCGCGTCACATTGCCAACCAATCAGTTGCCTCCATTTTCCCGCACTTCAACTTACAGTTTTACATATCATTTACAGCGAATGTTCTTTGGTACATTTTCACTTGCACCTTTGTTTTGGAAGGCCATTGTTATATCTTTGGCTTTGGTTTACAACTCTATATTGAAAAACGCCTTAATGTTGTTCTTGTACTAATTGAAGCGCGGTTGAAAGTTCATTTTAGACCCAGACTTATCTGGAGGTTGCAAAATTATGTAAAAGGCCTATTCGCCTTTCCAGCCATACCCTTGGTTTTGCGCTGTGATTTGTTGACATATAGGGCCGGATTTGGAAACGAAGTTTTCCAAATGTCTAGCAAAACTTTGTTCTCAGCCATGTCCAATTTAGCCAAACGTTTCATCTGGGAAACAATATTTCAGAGGGTACGAGGCTCATTGAATTTGTCATGACTGGCTCACATCTACTTACTGTCGTAAGGTTGTGTTAGTGATTCACCAGGCTCTATCACACGCGCTGTTTTACCATCATCTTCGTTTTCAGCGAGCCAGCAGCGACAAGGGAAAATTACTTTGGGAGCATCAGGAGCTGTGACTTCGATTTCCTCCACGAAAAGTCCTTTATTACGACCCTTGCTATCGTGACCAATGTGGACTTTTTGCACCTGAGGCGAAAGAAGCGATCATTGTATATAGGTGGCAAACATACTTTTTTTGGTCCACTGTTTTGCATCTGCAGCGGTAATAGGTTTTTCGATTTCTATTTCATCATTACAAAATGCGCTATGCTTCTGTTTAACCTTTTCACTGCCACGTGAGGCAAGTAATTTCTCTTCAGAATATCACTATATCACTACAGTATCCAGCAGACAAGTGTTAAAATACACTGAAGATAATTATCAACAAGGAGATTATTATTTGATTCAATACTAAACTTTTAAATCTCATGCAACACACGAATATACGAACACGAGAAACGTATCATAGAAAGCAAAGGTTACTTCAAAGACCTTGGCAATGAAAGGGCGTGACCAATTGTTTAATACAGTACATAACAATAGGTTGAAATCAAAGAAAAAAAAAGTTTCTAAACCAAAAGTTAAATTATTTCACGTATTGCACTTGAAGCTGTTTAAAAACAAGAGACGAGAATATTAATGACTTACATTGCCGATATCTTTAATGTTAACAGATACTTTGTAGAACTTGTCAGGTTCAAACTTGGATCCATCAGGCAAAAGATAAATTTTCCCGGACTCGCCTCTGTCACCATAAAGTAACATATACAGCTTGGTGTTGGGGTCCAGGACTTCTCCAAGACGAAACCCGACTGTAACGAAAAAAGCAAAGGAGTTACGTGACGTACCGTAGCGTTGGAATTATGTGACAAAACAATTGGCGATTCTACGTTCAGCATGTTGGTTCTCGCGCGTTGAACACAAGTTTTGCAACGAATGCATTTGTAAAAGGAAACGAAACGTACATATAAGCTGCTTCTAGAGCAATCATGTGTTATATTTCTATAAGACCAAAATAGCAAAAAGAGATTTTGTGACATACAGAGTAACATCGTCAGAAAAAGCCTACCAGATCACGAAATACGAAGTTTTTAATATAAATAAAGTATAAACAACTAGGGCTTGACAACAATTTCTGACATACGAATGTCCCCTGGTCTATATGAGCTTGACGGAAGCAACAAAAAAGATTACGCAGCAAAGATGTCGTGTATCTTACAAAAGAAAATAGGAAGAATTGAAAAGATTTTTAAAAAATCCCATCTATACGCTTGGAGAATGCGACCGATCATGGCACTTTTTTATGTCTTTAAAATATGAAAACAAAAATAAACATCAAACTATAGAATCGAACGGAAATTTTCCTTACTATCATACTGTGAAGTCAAAGACTGTCCGGGCACTAATACCCGAGTAGTCTGTCCGTCATCTTCATCTTCAGCTAACCAGCAACGAGAAGGGAACACCACTGGAGGACCACTGGGCGCTGTGACTTCTACCTCTTCTACAAACACACCCTGGTTGGGGGACGCACCATCGCAACCCATGCTGATGTTACGGACCTGTATATGGAAGGCACACACACATGAGGTGCTACTACTTATCAATACTTGCCGTTATTCAATATAAAGTTCTCTTCTGCTTATTTTTGTTTTCCAGAAAAGTTTGGTATCATAGGAAAATGCCAGTCAAAGGCTAACCAAGACGACAAAAGATGTATTAAAAAAAGGGAGAGAAGAGAAAGTGGAAACATCATTCTAACACGTTACAAACGAAGTAATTTACAATAACCGAAAAAGTAAACAACGTACCAAGATGCAAATAAAAATTGGTTCGTAGGGAAGCAATTTGGCGAGGAAATGGCACGAATCTGTTGCGAATCCACCTTTATTCCTTCAATGTTTTTTTTCTTTTTCGAGAAAAACGCTTCTTACCGATTACAGTTCCAAAAGATCTTTTGACAAATGTCCAGTATACATATACAAATAACTCTACCCCACCCCCACCCCCCACGTCCCTTGTTACATGTAGTTACAAGTAACTTACCTTTCCTACGTCGGTGGTGGTAACAGTAACAGTGTACAACTTTCCCGGTTCCAGTCTTCCTCCTTCTGGTGTCAGATAAATCTTCTCTGAGTCTCCCCTGTCTCCGTGAATGACCATGAACAGCTTGGTGTAAGGGTCCAGGACTTCGCCGAGTCTGAACGAAACTGTTAATCGAATCGTAAAAACAATTAACGTTGACATGTCCAGTCACGACTGCTTGTAAAAATCATGGGTGTACTTTCACACCACAAATAGGGAACAGTGAATGATATTAAAATAATTCCCGAATAATAGGCACGTCAGAACTGGCTGGCGAAGACAATTCCATTCAAAATTTAGTAAAGAGAATTTTAAAGAACCATTAGGGGAAACCTGAAATAACAATCCATTCATTTTCAAATAACAGGTGTGGTATGTCAGTCCTAACCAATATTGACCGAATGTAGTTTCTGTACGCTACGATATGCCCATACCTTGATATTCCGCCATCTCAGGTTCAGGCGCTAAGAATAAAGTAAAAAAAGAAATGGAAATCAGTGGCTACACGTTGTTTACATCCACCGAAACCGGTCCCATCCGTACAATGAAATCCAATCGAAGGGCAGAACTGGAACAATATCTTAACTTCAAGTGTCAACAATGAAACTGTGATCAATTTTGGTTCCTGCGTGGTGATGATTTGCAAGAAGTTATTGCTTGAGTAATCGAGTTTAGCTTATTCTAAATATGTTCACACTGCACAAAACGTAACATTAAAAAAAATCAAAGGCGCCTACCAGCAGCAGACTCTTGTGTAGCCTCTTCAACAGTAATGCTCTCTTCTTGAACGGCGTTCTCGTCAACTGCGAGAAAACGATAAAGTAGCATGTTTCATATACCGCTAAACTTACCTACGACCAGTTTACTAATTCTTGGAGTGAATTTAAGAGATCCTCGCAACTATAAACACTACTGAACCAGTAGTTGAAATAAGACAGTCTTATTTCAACTACTAGTTCAGTAGTGTTCTTAGCTGCGAGGATCTCTTATATTTGTTTCTTCACCGCAGTGCACATCTATGATTTTCATATATCTACAATTATTAATTCTTGGAGTGTTCTTTGGCTAATCAGAACGAAAGAATGTATCAAGCAAGCGACAATAGGCTCAAGAAAATGACTAAACCGCAGCAAATGAATACAACCAAGAACGGCGAGAACAACAGTACCCCCTTTCCCAATTATTTCTCTTCCTTCGTTTCCTTTTTTTAGCATTTTTTGTTCGTGAAGAAAAATTGACCTCACTCTTCCTGAGAGAGGTCCTGTTCCAACGAAGGTTACTAATCCATGATTTTCTAGTATTTCCTCAAAATTCAATGGTATTCAATTTTAGTATATACTAAATCAAAGGATAACGTCGAAGGCGCACTCTGATTGGCTACTCAAACTCCGAATATCCTTTGCTATTAACCTCTGAGCGACTCGCGCAGGATTTGTGCCCAAAAATATTGTAATCGTTACAAGAACAATTGAGTTAAAATCATCTTTTTGTGCTATATCTTCTTACCGTTTTGGCATATAATGAAACAACTATTCCAGAAAAAAAGGCGTCATAAAGACCTTAGTGAAATTTTTTACTTCATTTCTTCATTTCTGAGAAGAGTTTTCACGAATTGTTAGTACTACCGTGTAGTACAAATGCGTGAGACTCGTTTTCTTTGTCTAGTAAAGTCAAATTTTGTTTTCTCTCTTACCAGGGTAAACTTCAACTTCAACTCGTCTGTCCTCGTCACCAGTCAGCCAGCGGTTGCATGGAAACATGTACTTTTCGTCCCTGGTGGCAATATCGATCTTCAGGTATTCTAAATACCACTCTGGATTAGGACCCGTGTTATCATGACTGAGGCGAATCCTTTCAACCTAAACGAGATTGTGGTCATAAATCAGATAAAGAGAAATGGAACCTGAAAAAAATAGGTAAACCTAGATTCACTCACTTTGCCAACGTCCATCGTCTGCACAGTGAATCTGTCCGTTCGTCCTCGATCAAATCTCTTCAGTGTTTTTCCAGATTCTTGCCGTAACATGATCTTTTCTGTTTGACCTTTGTCTCCAAACAGCTGCAGTGTCACGTTAGCATCAGTGCCCGCATACGGCATGTCGCCTGTCTTAAATGTCAAGTTGTAAGCAACATCTGGAACAAAAAATATTCCCACACATAAGAGTCAACAATACTTACTCATCCCCACTATGCTAAAGCGAAGAGACGCCCTCCCAACCCTTCCGCGGGTACCCATGCCATCCATGCTATAGTGAAGAAACGCCCTCCCCACCCCTCCGGGGGTACCCATGCCAACTATGCTATACTAAAGAGACGCCCTCCCCACCCCTCCTGAGGTACTCATGCCCACTTTGCTATAGTGAAGATACGCCCTCCCCACTCCTCACCCCCGATAATCCCCAATTTAATACAATACCTTGCCTCTACGATCATTAAAGCATTTCTTATGCATTCTCTCCACCACCCCTCCCTCCCAACGCCCTTGCCTTCTAAATTCAGTCCATCCACCAGAACTTACTTTCAGGTCTCTTAACAGCTTTTCCAGGAAGCAGTTCCCTCTCAGTTTTACTGTCCCACACATCTTCAGCCAGCCAACATGCACATGGGAACATTACTGGAGGGTCACTTTCTGTTGGAACCACCTTGACACTTTCCACAAACAGTCCTTTGCCATACCCTCGGCTGTCCTGTCCAAGGCGAATCTTCTCAATCTAGAGTACCAAACACGAGGAAAACTTTCTCACTACTTTGCTGATTTAGTTCAGATAGACAACAATTAAAGTAAAATACTGGAGCAAAGCCAGAGGACCAGGTATAGTTTGTAAAAAACGTTTAAGTTTTTAAGTTAAATTTATTAACTAAATATTCAAGGTCTAACCCTTTCTTACTCATTTTAGATAAAATAAAATCAAAGTTTCACAAATTTTTTCTACTCAAAAAGAGGGCGTCCATTTGATACATATACTAACAATGTTTTAAGTCACATGTATCATTGAAAACGCGTTTCAAGCTGCTATCAGTTGCGTTGTGGATCTCTCGGGGAACATGTGCTCTTCAGAGAGTTCAAAAGTTCACGTTCCTAATTTGAGATTGAAGAATGTTCACTCAATAATAATAAATAACGTGGCATCATGAACCAAAATCGCAATTTTGTTCTGAAAATAAGACTTTTAAAAGGCATGGTTATGTTCTTAAAAGAGCTGATACTAAGCTGCATGTTTCATAAATTTAAACTACCTCAAGCTACTCAATCTTAAATGGGTATTGTTCATTATGTGCCTACGTACCCCTCCAATATCAACAGTCAGAGCAAGCGTGAATTTATACGTCTTCTCTCTTTGTAACGGTTCTTCTGGCCTCAAGAAAACTTTGCTAGTTTCCCCTCTACGACCAATCAAATAGATGTATAATGTGGCTTCAGGGTTCAGTACTTCTCCAAGGTGCACAGACACTGTGTGGGTAATGTCTGACTCTGAAAAACAAAAACCAAATTCAAACTAGTTTCAGTTTGATTTTTGTTTGTCTCAGATCTGCAATTGTATAACCATATTCTGTCACAAAGAAAATCAAAAGCGAAACTATATCGAAAACCTGCAAACTGAAACAAAAAATTACACTTAGGTGCAGCACAGAGCATTTTGTACATGTACAGCATTGGTGTCTACCTGATGTCTGAGGGGTCCTCGTTCCTGGATAGATCTCTCGTTCTAATTTTCCATCTCCAATGTCTTCTGCCAACCAACAAGAACAAGGAAAATACAGAGCCTCTTCATCATCTGGTGCAACTTCAATATCATCTACAAAAATACCCTTTCCACTTCCATAGGTATCATGACCAACACGGATTCTCTCCACCTATAGCGTAAAACACACAAAATCATTGATAGTATCTTAGCTCACATTGTACCCTTTTTAACCTTTTAAACCCAAAGAGTGATCAGCATGTAATTTCTCCTTACAGTAATACTGCTGAACCATTCATTAAAAACACAAGAGTGAGGGAAATGATTGCCAACCTAAGAATCCTAGATTGTTAGACAACTTCCCCTTACAAGTACTAAAGGAAATGTTTAGAGAGGGGTATGGAGAATAATGATAGATACTGAAGCTAGGTTGTAAAGTGTTAAAATATACAGTAAATTCCATGTAAGACTCCCCAAAATTTGCTCAGGCTAGTTTGCTTGTGTATTAACAAAACCAATGTAACAACTTGAAATATCTAATTTGCTACACATAATTATTTTACTAAAAATTAGTTCTAAGAGAGTGTTCACTTTATATCTCACATGTAAATGTTATATCATAAAGAGAAATAAAAGACAGTCATATGATTATTGTAAAGCTACAATACCTTTCCAATATCTGGCATCTCAACTGAGAATTTGTAGGTCTTTCCTTCTTGAAATGTATCTGTTGCAGTTCCTGATGGGCGAAGCACAATTTTGGTGCTCTCCTCCTTCTCCCCGCACAGTTGCAAGTACAACTTGGTGTATGGATCCAGAACTTTACCCAAATGAACTGAGACTGTGTAACCTTTGTCTGTAATGCAACACATAAAATTTAGTGTCCAATTAACATAACTGCTCCAATCTACTGTTGAACGAGATCATTTATCATTCATATCAGTATGTGCCTTATAATTGGTCAATTTTGCAGGCTCTATTTCAATGTATGGCTGCTATATTCAAAAGTTTGTTTGAATTAAAATCTTCTTCCTCTATTTGAACCCAAAGATGTCTGTATCTTACTAATCTAATTTGTCAGTCCATACTGTAAGTTAGGGAACCTTGTTTTTTCTGCTCAGATTTATGGCCTGCAATTTTGTCGTTGAAGGAAAAAATTGGAGCAGAAAAAAAACTTGGTCTGTAACTTAGGCCTCTAGTTTGTTATGGCAACAAAGTTATGGCAACAAATGACAATAGTGTATACACTTTGTCCAAACGTGTTTTTAGACTGGTCTGTTAACAAACACAGATGTGTCTGACAAACATATCGTAGTACATGAAGTCTGCGCTGCACTGTATCTAAGTCCATTAAGACAGGTTTAGGATTGAAAAATTACACTGAAAGAGACATCTAAGAAGATTGCCATTTACTAAATGTACAATTATACAAAGCTCACCCCTGCAGGGTTCTTTTTAAGCTGTAATAAGATATCAAACAAAGACACTGACACACAATTAGATCTGAGGATCCTTACTGATTTCTTAACAAACAAATTCAAAGTAAAAGAATTTATTTCATAAGATTAATGCCTGGACTTACTTGGTGTAGGAGTTGAATTCAAGTCTTTGATTGTCATCTCTGAGAGCTTATCTTGTGCCAGCCAACAGTTGCAAGGGAAGGTGTAATGGCTGCCGTAGGAAGGAACATCAACTTCGACTTCTTTCACATGAAGCCCTGTTCCATATTCCATGTGATCATGGCTGAGTTTTATTCTCTCGACCTGCGAGGGTGAAGTACAGAAAATACACCAAGTATTTGTGGTATTCCTTTTTATTTCTTTTTTGTCTTACACATACCTTAAAATCTTTTCCTTCTGTAAGGTGGAATCTTACCCAAAGGCCACCCCTACAATAGACAAATCATGTCCCTATTTTTTGATGTTTTTTTTTAAGCAGCTGCTGACCTGGAAGAGGGGGCCATAAAGCAAAACCAAATACAAGAGCCTGCACACAGGCTAAACAAGCACCAGTAAGAGGTCATATAGATACAGCTATAGCCTAATAAACCAACAATCCAAGTAGTTATGAAACTCCTGTACACTGATATTTTTTGTTTCTTCTCATCACGTTCACATGTGTTAATAGTGCAAGGAGAAACTAAATTTTGATAAGTCCTCGGAGAAGAAGGCAGAGGCCACCTGAAAAAAACAGCAATGGCTTCAAAATAAATGAGCTGAAATAAATGGATGAGCTGTCATCATTTATATACAAAAGCATCTCTTTGTGCATGTAGATTGTTCTGTAGTACATTCTGACACAACTTTGGGATTAACAAAATGATTTTTTACTTTTAATACTCAATTGTTTCTTAATGAAAAAACAATCCATTTACTTTTGATTTATCCAGTAGCCACATATACTGTTAGTACCACCCATTTTTGCATACAATTACCTTTCCAATGTCCATGGTGGTAACCATAAACTTATATTCCTGATCAGTTTCAAACCGGTTCTTCTCGTCTCCTGCTTGACGTAACTGTATTTTTGCTGTGTTTCCTTTGGATCCAAACAGCTGGATATAGACATTTCCATCCACACCATTACCTTTGACTTCACCAAGTTTCATTTTGATGTTGTATTTCACTGGGAAGATAATGTGTAATTAATAAATAGGATTTCCAATAATGAACATTTACAGTGTACATCAGTTTTATTGGCCAAGTTTTCAGCTGATGTAAACAAAGATGGTAAATTTTAAGCCCTAAGATCTAATTGAGGGATGATTAAATTTTATTCTGGCATACTTGGAACAGATAAATCTTACTGCTCCCAATAGGAGTGGATTAGTCGATTAGCACTTTGCCTGCCCTATCACTGAGCTATAGGAGACTCATGGTTGGCTACACCATTTAACCCTTTTGTTCCCATGAGTAACCAAGACAGAATTTCTAAGTCCATGGAGAAAAACTTCTAGTATACAGATAGTAAACAGATGTTGATAAGTGATGCTTTTTTGCAATGATAATTTAAATAAAGATAATAAATTCTAGTTTGGTGATTTAATTTTAAGAAAACTAGAACCTTCATTTACATCATCACTACATGAAATCATCACATTGATTGGTGAGGAGAAATTCCCCTTTGAAACAGTTCTTTGAGAAAAAAGCCTAATATCAAGCATGCCCTCATATTTTCATTATGCTCACATATGCACATACATGACCTTACCATTCACTTCAGGAAGGCCTGACTTTGGATCTGAAGGCGTACGTTGTTTCACCAGGGAAGATGTGCGGGGCAGAGTCACAGGTTTTGTTGGTGCAGCTTCTGTACTGGACGAAGTACTTGCTTGAACTATCAAATACACCAGGATGGCAGAGATAAATTTACAAAAATGAATGAAAACTGTTAAGCCACAGGAAATGGAATTCAACAAGTTGGAATTAAATGAAGAAAGTTTTAAATCAAATCAAGTGAGTAATCAACAATTATCTCAAATACTATGTTGTAATTACCTGGCTTTTCTGAACTGCTGGAAACTCTTCGCGTGGCAAATGATGCAGATCTTATTGGCATAGTTACGCTGGATATCTTTGTTCCACTACTTGTGGACCCAACTGAGCTGCCACTAAGTTTTCTCCCTGTGCCACTCCCACTACTGTATGTGCGCTGTACAGACCCTGTCTCACTGACATCTGACTCACGTTTTTTATATGGAAATCTATCTTCCCTTCCTTCAGAAGTTGTGTCTCCATTCACCATGTAAATTTTTCTTTTACTGTAAGACGTCTCTTGTGATGGGTCAGTTCCGTTTGTAATAGCACCATTCACAAATTGCCCATATCTGTTGGTTGTGTCAATGGACTGTCGCTCACTCCAAGAGTTATGTGAAGTTTCACTTATTGTGTGAACTTGTCGCACTTCCCTTTTTGTGAAGGATTCATTTCGTGCAGTTTCCCACTGCATAGTGGCTAGACTGACTTCAGTCAAGGATCTGTTCCTGTGACAAAAGAATGAAGAATTAAATTGTTGAAGGATAAAGAAGGCAATGTTTAATAATCAATTAACAAGGTGCTCTAGAAATGCCGAACATGTTGGTGTCTATCAATAACAACATCTTGATCAGAGAAAACTTCCAAACTTTGGCAACTGGAAAAATTGAAATTGCGGAAAAACATGGGAAACATGACAGGACTCATAGAACAAAGGTAATAAAGAGGATTAGATCTTAACAAAAACTGAAATAATCTTGCATCATTCCTTTGTTAAAAATGCAGAAAATAGTGATAATCCAAGGACGCAATTAAAAAAAAATGCCACTTTGCTCCTTTGCCCTCTCAAATCTTTGAAAGGAAAATAAGTTCAAGGAAGTTATATGAATGTTTGTGGTAATTATTAACAAAAAGAAAAACAAAACAAAAAAACTGGAAAAGAATATACTGCAAGATTAGAAGATACAATAAATATTTCCTATTAAGAATTCTCATTTTATTCAATCTTGCAACTGATTCTTCCCTCCTAGGTTAGTATTTTATTTTACTTTTTTTCAACCAAGATTACCCTATCAATTCTCCTCACTACCCTCCATACACTTGTTATAATTTTAGCTCTGAGAATTTGATTAGGAATTGATTTGATTAGTGAGGAGAAAGTACCTTAAGTTAATTCTAGAAGTAAAATACCTTAGTAATGGAAAGAGTCAAAATAATAATAAAACAATCATAAACTGTGCAGCAGTTCAATTTACATTAGGAAATATTTGGATTACAGATATTTAGTTGTTGAAAGTGCTGAAATGTTGAGGGTTAATTTAAAATTGAATCTAACATGCCTAATAAAGATGACTCCTGTTAATTGAAGATAAGAATTCTCTTCTGTAGAATGTAAAATAATCTGTATTTGATAAATGACTTCTTTTGAAAATAACATGACTCTTATTACAAAAACAAAACGTGTGCAAATTTGGAACAGCAAAGACAAAATTGGACACAAATTTTGACATATCTATTTTCGCTTCATCGACGATGTGAGGTACTGATTTTCCCAGAGTCCGCGATGTCAACAACGTTCAAAGCACAAGCTATTTTTCTCTTTCTTCGTCGAATTAATTTTGTTTTCTACACGCGATAATTTGGTTTGTATCACATGGTGACATCACGAGCATGAGTGCAGGTCATGACAACCAATTTTTCGCTTTGAGTTTAAAGAAGTGGATTAATGTAAGCTTATTTTTAAAAGCTGTTTACAAGATTTAAGTGTTTAAACCTGAAAAACTATGCAAGAAATATATTAAGAGGTGGGAGCTTCGAAGTTAAAAGATAATAATAAGATATTCGCACTAGTTTTTTAAAGTACTCTGTTGTGAAGATGATAAGAATCACAAACACACAATATCGAAAACACTATCGAAAGAAACGGAATTAAAAGAGTTATTTAACACATTTGTACTGTAGGTATCAAAGTGCTGTTCCAATTTCTATAAGAGTATTTTGTCGTGTAGTTGATCATGCATATTGCAATCATCCATTTATCAACCGATCATACCAACCAATCAAATTCAATTCGGAGAATCAAGCACGAGTTAGAATTTTAAATCACTAATCGAATGCATGCAAGCATTGAAAATTAGTTTACTGTAATACGGATCGAAGAAACCTGTTTTAGAGAATCTGTGATTGAATAAATCTGAACGCTGTAAATAACGATTGCTGCTTTAGCGACATAAAGTTGTTTGCATCCTCTTCTTCTTCTTCGTTGACCGAATTCGCTTTGTATGTGCAAACCAAGCTAATGCGTAAACATTGTTTGCGACCGTTGTTCGTGTTCGGGACAAAATTGTAACAGAACTGGTAAAAGAATCATCTCGATCATTGCGATTCCAAAATAAAGCGGAGAAAAATTAATGCAGCCTGATTAGACGACAAAATGCCTTGGTTAAGCTTAACAGATTACCTGACTGACTCACAAAAGCTTCGGACGATGCAACAGAAGCTTTCTAATCCCGTCGAACGCTAAACCTCCCTGAACTGCTCTTTGCACGATAAACTTTGTTTTCAACAGATGAGTCGTCTAAAATTTCTTGACAGCAAACAGGTATCGGATGACAGCGCTGATCAATACTTGATCTGCAAAAGCCCGCCAAATATCGTCAGTATTTGGTTCTGTTTACAATACGAACCTCTCTTTGTTTGGAAAGTGGATTTATGTTTCCGTCGCCATATTGGTTTTGATTAAGGGCGCGGTTACAATGCAAATTCTAGAATTCTAGAATGTTACAATGTCCTGGGTGGGGAGAGCACCGTAACCTTTGGCTGCTTTCCGGCGAAAAAGGAGCTTGCTTTGTCTTGAATACCGCCACCCGCTAGAATTAATCATGTTTAGACTTCAATAGGCTGCATAATTTCACCACTAATCCAATCTTTAAAAATGCGCAAACAAAATAATTTTCTTTCGACATCGTTGTACCAAGACACTGTAGAACTTTGCACCTTGTGCCACAAAAGATTACACTTGTATTAGCGTCCGGGAAAAAAATCTTTGTTCAAAGGCCGACTAGATTAAAAATGGTTTGGAAACTGAGGTGACAGGGATATGAAAATAAATTGAGTACGACTTGTAGTTCTCTTTAAAAGGAGACTTCAATCTTTTTTAACCTTGCCTAATAACAAGTTTACCATTAGTATCGCAATTGCTTGTAATTAAACAGTTTCTTTTTTACTGCTGTAAACGTTCCATATTCGTTATAAAATATTGCTTATTTGCTTTGATATGCATATGAAAAGAAAAATTACAACAACAAGAAACAGTTAAAAAAAAAATCAAACCAGATGCTCGCTGTAATCAAGTGGAGTAATTTGAATCTGAGAGTGATTTTCGACGATTGCAGACAATATTAACTATAACAATTGAATGATTTTTTCCCACGATTTTTCCTATTAAATGAGAAAAATTCCTCCACTCGAGTTCGTGTCTGGAGAGACAATGAAATTTCACTCAGTGAACTGACTCCTGGTTTCTCTGGGGACAAGTTGCGCTTCAATGAAATCTTTTACAATCTTTTATATTCTTTGTCGGCAAAGTTGCCATGCTTCAACGACTTCTTGACGAATTTCAAAAGAATACATTTGATTACAAATACTTTGTGCTTCTAATAGATATTCGATCACCACAAAGTACAAATTACACCTAAACATAATTTTTGAGCAAACTTATTCCGTTCACCCTGAAGCTCAATAAACTGTATAGTACCAGAGTCGGTGAATAAAAAATATGTTCTGAATTCTGTAACACCAAGAATGTCAATGGTTTCGTAGTCTGCTTAAATTCAAACTGTGTGGCTAACCAAAATTTTCAACTTGTTTTGCATCCATGGGCTATTCAAAAACTTAGATAAATGCTATCTAAGGTCGGTCTTATCCTTCAATATCAAAATGTACTTACATATACTGAATAGTTTGGTTAAATAGGTAAACTGTCTAGATAGCTCAGGTAAACATTTGTCGAGGTGTCTCATTCGAATTGCTGTCAACGGCGCTGTGTTTCGCTAATTTGAACTCTCCAAACCGCTGTCAAGAAAAAACAAATAGTCTGGAACTAATGAGCTCCCTGAAAACTCCTGAAAACAGGTCGTGTCAGATAAAACAGCTACCTCGATCGCCGAAGCGGCACCGTAGTGCATTTACATTTCCAGCTATGGTTAATAAAGTTCTCAGTCAAATTGATTGTGATTCATCAGATGCATAAAACCGTGGGAACTTAACTGACAAAAAGTTCCCTCGTTTTTCCACTTAAAGTATGAAACACCGATTATTGTGATCCAGAATATGCTGTTAAACTGTTTCTTACCTGACTCGTAGTTTTTGTTGTACAGCGAGTTTGTCAACGTCCTTTATTTACGAAAGTTTTTTGCTTGAAGGATTTTTGTCGCGTAGGTGGGGTGACTCATCGTGCGAAGACGCTGATTTCTAATGAATTTTTCATGAGGTGATTAGATTTAAATGAAAGAGTGCTTGCTGCGATGCAACTAGCTGTTTACCACTTCAGTTACAATTTGCCAAAGTTCGTTTGATCCTTTATGTATTTTGTCTTAAGTTGCGATGCTTTAAACAGCTCTAAAAGTGACTTCGATACAGATTCAATATTGACTTTCGCGCGTTCAAACAAAGTCGAGTTACAAAAGCAGCTAACTGCTGACTGATTCAGACGAATTTCGCGCCTAATTTGATAGACAGAAAATTGATTAAGAACCATTTAATCAGTTCTATAGCTTAGACCATTTACCTTCCTGTGAACAATAAGTTACTGAAGTTGGCCATTATAGTCGCTTTCTTTTAATGGTTTACGAAGTATACGCAAAGATACTCTGTTTGACAGCTTTGACTAATACCTGCTGACATTTCGCAACTGACTCCACCGCGGTTTAGCGCATCACACCTGCCGTCTCTAAGACTAACACACTCTCTAATTGGACTAAAAAAGAAACAAATCTCTCTGTTAACCACCGGAATTGAATTCTTTGTCATAATGGTCTGTGCTAATTTGATTTATTTTCAAAAAATTTGGAGCTGATGTCAGTGATCGAGATCTTCACCCACGCTCCTTCGTGATAACGTGGTTAGTTAAATCAATTTTTCTTTTAGCTGATAGTTTGGAATGTTTTCGTATCGGCGGTTCTTTTGTATTGGTTGTTGAGACTGAACGTCCTGAAATTCAAGTTGATCAGTCCTGAATCACAAATGAACCACAGAAAATACTAGAAAAAATGGTGGCTTGGGCACCACACAGAGCTGTTGTAAGGTTCTATAGAAATGTCATAACTGGTGGTCATTTACCTACAAAAATATGAAAAAAAAAGAAAAAATCAGTGACGGCTGATTTTATTCCAAAAGTCGAACAAATTATGTATAAATTAATCTAAAGTCATTGTATAAAAGTGGTAGTAGGAGTAGGTGGAGTCCAACTCGGTCTGTAATCATGAGTGATTGACAAAATCGGACAACCGAGAAGCATGAGTCTGGTTTGTTAATTAAGAGTATATTTACCGACAGAATTGGACGACATAAAGTCTTGTTATAAATTAATCGAAAACTATGTAATAATTTGAGAAACTAACTAAACATAGGTTATACGCTTTCATAAAGCACGATAACAATGCGCGCTCATGACACGCATTGTCCAATTACATCAGCATGACGTTTGCACTATCTCATTACAATGTCCAATTACACCGTCCAGTTACAAGCACGACGCATGCAATGTCCTCTCAGTGCTCAAATCGGTCTAATGGCAATCACAGTCGAAAATTTTCTCATAGGTTTGATTAACTTAATCGGATAAATCAGTTGAAAAATTAAATCCAGCAATCATTGCATTTTCTTGATTTTGAGATACAACAATTTGTTGCAAAATTTTTTTTTGCGGAATTCAATTATATAAAGTATTTCTTAAAAGTTTGTTCATGTTTTCTTTTTCAAGTTCGGTGAGACTGAGTTAAGCTTATTCTCTTTTTTTTTTCTTTTTCCTGAGGGCGTCTTTAACCCGACCATTACCTCCAAAATACGCCCACTCCTCAAATGACATGTTTTCAGCTGTCTCATAAATTAAAATTTTCAAGTGCTACCAATCTTTGGATGGAAAATGACACGCTATCCATGCCCTCCTTACGACACTGTGCATGGGGTCTATATAATATTCTAATAGTTTATCAATCAAAAAATGAATAAAACTCGAAAATAAAACAAACAAAACTTGTTAGTAAACTGGTTTAACATTATGGAGGAATGCAGCGTATTCAGGAGGGGTGGCAATGTTTGGTGCAGCTGTTGGAAACTTCTGCTCATAGAAAGAACTAAAAAGTATAAATAGAGGAAGTCCAGAGTAGTTATGTAAACAGGAAGATCTGAAGTAATAATTTATTCACCGCCACCACATTACGCGTGGAAATGATAATCAGAAAATTAAATTAGGCAAATGAGTAAACTTTTTTAGCGAAAGAAAAGATATGATACTCAGGCGCATGTACTTTTCAATTTTGAACACGATTTAAAATTTGCAAAATTTATTATTAAGTACACCACAAACTCATTTCCCCCCGATCCATCCAAAAAGAGTTTCTCAATAGGTGACTTGTGCGTGCATTAGGGAAAATTTAGTTGTCATGGATCCTTTAAAATCGGTAATACATGTTAGCATTTGCTAATTGTGAACATTGTCAACAAATGACATAAGCCGGCTTTCTAAAATTTTATTCAGAAACTAAAGCTGTTCAGGTTTCAAAGTTAACTACTTAATAAGCGAAACTCTCGCCAACCGTGCAAATTGGGCATCAAGTCGAAGCCTACACGCCTAAGCGAAGGTCCCCTAAAATGAGTTTTACCCTAAGGTGACTTCTTGAAGCCGTAGTATAAAGACAAAGTATATCGCTTTTTATTACTTTGCAGCGAGATACAAGAACCGAAAGAAGCCTTGTTAATGTTTACTTGCTAATACTTAGCGCCTCTCTCTAGTTTTATTATCCGCGAGTAATTTGACTTGAACAGTGAAGCATAAGCCTGAATCCAACGATATGATGTTTCTCATGAAATGTTTATTTTGTAGACCAAGAACAAAAATTATGCCTACATTGAATCCACTTCGCTGTTAAGATGTTATGGTGCTATTTCATCCGCGAAATTATCATTTTGAAAACGTCTATATTCAAAGAGTATGGCTAAAATTTTGCACAAATTAAATCTGACTCTTAAAATTGGCGAAGAACTGCACCTTTGCAACTACTTTTACTTTTAGTCAATTGTTATTAAAGAAAATTTTCTCACTAATGTTCTATGCCACTGGACAAATGAGGAAGTTGTTTCCATATCAGCTTTAAAATTCTCTAATGACATTCGCACAACCATGACACTCTACTAATTTCCCTCTACAACTTAAGTTAACCTTTACACCTAACACTTATAAATTCATAGCACCGTTACAAAAACAATACTTCGTAACATGGAAGCCATAATAACTTTAACGAGTGCTATTGCGAAATGTCAGTGTGTATGCGGGGATAAAAGAAGCGAGGCTCAGAAATGAAAAAATGTGATACCATCTAAATCACTGTCAGTAAATTTTGGGTTTGGCAGCAGGGTGAAGCAGGCTGTTTTAGAATTTACTAGTTTTTTTCTATAAGGGTAAAATTCTCGAACGACGTCATACGCAATTTCGCTCCTCTAGAGTA